GGGGGTTCTCGGTGCTTTTCCATCTAGTCCAACAAGCACCGCGGGACTCCACCGCGCACGTGCCACCGGCAGGCACTGTGCAGGAGCACGGGCTGGCTCCCACCTGGCCCCCCTCTCGGGGTGTGGTCTGACAGGGTGCGGGGCCCTCCGAACTGGGTCGTGAAACCAAATCGGCTACAATGTGAGCTCGCAATGGAGATACATACATGGAGTCAAGCACTACTGAATTATTCTTTGGAAGGCAAAGAGTACAGAACACACGCACACAAGGAGACTAAGTAGAATTCTAAAATCTGTGGCCCTGGAAGTGCCTACCCTAATTGGAAGCTGCTGCTCAGGCAGGTGGGCGGGGCCGACAGCCTGGCCCTGGGCCAGCTGTCATCCCCAAGGTCCTAGGTGTCAAGGGAAGAGCACAGTGATTTCTTCAGGAAAGAGAGGGCTCTGGTCCTTGCAAGTCCTGCTCTGGTTGAAAGAGGGGCAGTTCCGGGAGGCCAGTGGGGAGTGCGTGGGTGGGTGGGCGGATGTGAGGCTTCGCTGGGAGGGAAGGCGGCCAGGATGAGGACAGAAGGACGGGAAGCAAGAATGGGTGGGGACAGCTGCGCCCCTCTCCAGCACTGCACAGGTGTGGACACTGAGGTCCTCCTCTGTGGGTCCTCCTCGGGTCCAGCCCAGACACAACACTGTGAGTCCCAGCCAGTGAGTGTGCATGACCCCAAGGAGGGCTGACAGGTGGGTGGGGTCACTTACTATTGCAACCCGTCCCCCAAAGCTGTTCCAAGGACCCTTGGGATCCCAGAGGCATTTCCGGGATGAGATTAGGAACGCACCAGTTTCCCTAAATAGTGTGAGTAGCTCTCTGGGGATGAGGGAGGGCATCTTGGCTGGTGGCCACACAGTGGGTGACCCGGTGAGGAGGGACAGTGTGGGTGCAGGGCTGGCCCAGGTATCTGCAAGCCTTATCTATGCCTGGAAGGGGAAAGAAGGAAGAGAAGGTATAAATAGAAAGCTTGCGAGGCCACGGAACAGGTGAATAAGCAGAATGCAGCCACGTGTCCTCTGAAATCCACACACACAACAGCACGGTGCCAGGCTGTGGCGCACAGGAGAGACGCGTGCCTTCCGTCCGCACACCACCTGCCCTCCCATGCTCTCACCCAGCAGCAGACGGGGGGGCACACGTCTCGTGTGTGACTGGCAATGTGGGCCTGGGTCCCCGTGCCCCCGCTTCCTGACTTCTCAGAGCCTCCATTTTCTCATCTGCAAAACTGTAGGGACCTAAGACACTGTGTGACACGGCCCTGTCCCCCCGCTTCTCCACAGGTCCCCATCAACTTCACCTCGCCCAAGCCCACAGTCACATGGCACCTGGACCTCAATGGCACTGCCAGGCAGGCAGGCCGGCCAGCACACAGCCATGGAAAGGCCCCACAGCTGTCGGGGACAGGCTCGGTGCTGCGTCCACTCGCCCAGGGAATGCCCTGTCTGACCCCTGAACTCCTGAAGCGTCCACACCGAAAGGGAGCGTACACTCGGACGTGGCTCGAACGCGTCATTGCCGCACAGGAGGGACATGGCTGCCCAGGGTCACAGACTGGGCAGAGCGCACGCACTTCCCCCTCTTTGACTAAACTTCCCATGACCGCAGGTCGGAACCCCTTGCAATCCCAGAATTCCAGGCTGTGTCCTTTCTCCCCGCCAAATGAGCCTCCTGGAAGCTTGGGCCACCTCCTGGAGCGCTGTCCCGGGAGGGAAGGAGCCCTCCCCAGCCTTCTTCCCCTGGGAAAGGCCTCTCGCCCCCAGGCCGGCTGACCCCCGCCCCCGGCACCACTCTGGCGGGTCAGCTGGGTCGGCCGTGGAGTTCAGGGCTCGTGCTCACCAATCCTACCGTTGCGGGTTTGAGCAGGAGGTGGGGCGAGTGTAGCCAGCTGCGGCAAGGGCTCTGCGCGCGCCTCCACCGCCCTGTGGACTGGAGCCCGGCGCGGCTTCCACCCAGCCCTGACCTCCGCCCTTTAGTCCACGGCGAGTGGGTGCGCCAGGCCCCAGGGGTCGGTGTGACTCGCGGCGCGCGCCAGGGCAGTCCCGTGGGGAGGACACGGCGGCCACGCGCTCCCTCCCCCGCGGCCCGCGCACCTGTCCTGGGCGTGGCCCCGCAGCCCCGCCCCGGCCGCGCCCCGCGCTGGTTGGCCCAGGCG